CCCCCACCTCATTTAAGATTGACTACTTGACTTAAAAAAAGTTTAAACACATAATATTTTCGGATATTCAGGATGATCCTCTTTATTTTATTATCATAAACTCAAAGAAAACAATGTAATAAACGAAGAATCTGCGAATTAACAAAGCATTGCCTGAATGTTATTGATTTGCTCCCTTGATCACATGATAGATTCACAGAAACTGAGTTATGACGTTATCAATAAAATCATCAGATCCATCTGTGTCAGATTTCGACCAGTCATAATTAACATACTCGTAAACCAGGAAGAAAAATCCCATTATCTTCAGATACCATGTTCCTAAATGTACATTTAAAAAACAAACAAATGGGATGTAGGCGTTTAGGACGTAGGTCGTAGGTCAAGTTCATGTGTGTGAGCTATATGTCTCGGAAGTGGTTCATACTTGAAAGTTGTTGATGTCAACACTCTGTGTTCGTGACTGTCAATATCTTTGAATTACTCACCGAATTAATGGGATCCATTTTTAAAGTTTTTTTTTAGCACGAATTGTGGCGCGTTAAAATGTGATAGATTTAAAGTGAAGCCATTGCCAGAAAGCATTTTGTATAAAAGTCTTAATTGTTACTTATATAAATATATACATTTATTCTAAATTACCTCATTTCAATTTGGGTGTATTCAAAAAAAGTTTGCATCACGTTGACTTAAGCAATGAATCTAGTGTGGTTAGCCTTATGGTCTGCTGTACACTTAACGCCAGCAAGCACCTCAAATACTTATGCTGGATACACTGGAACGCTGGACTTTGTTATTCGGTATAACAATACATTTAATATCACATTTTCTCATGAGAGCTATAAAAAGTAAGTATTTGTTTTTTAAACCACACCAAAAAATATGCATACTATAGAAATAATTGCAATATAATGCGAGTTTAAATATGTTTTGCTTTTTCCCCCTTTCAAGTAGCTAAAATAAATCACAGGAGTAATGTTTTTTTCTTAATGATTGCTTTAATCAATTTTGTTTTATTTTAATATCTAATAAATTTTAAAAAATATTGTATTTGAATTATTTTCTTACAGATTTCTTGAGTGTTTGTGTACCGATACATTTACCCCCTTTGCTGTCAACACCGATGCATCAAACCAAGAGAATTTTGCATATGTGTCTAATATTCAATGTGACGTCAATGGTAACAAAAATGAAACAAGCAAACAAAGACATTGTTCCATTTATGATCAATTCGCTAATAAGAAAGACTTCAGCATCGACTGTGAACTATCTACAAGTCACTCGGTGCCAGGGAGTTTACAACAAGTAGACAATCAGACGTGTTCAAATAAATGCGTCAAAATCACGTGGCTTTCAGGCGTGTCGATCGAATTAATTTATGACACCAACATTAAAGTGCAACACAAGTCAAACACGTGTGGAAAACCCACAAGCCCATTATCTTCAACTGATCCGCCAACAACTTCAAACACTCAGTTTTCTAATGGCGATCTGAACAACAGCACTACCGATGAACAGGTCAATGAAGCCAGCAGTGTTGATGAACAGGTCAGTGATGCTGGCGTGATGTCTACGTCCCAAATTGTTTATGCTGTCTTATTCGCCGCGTTCTTCTTAACAGTTTCTTTCATTCTGGGCGTTAATCGCGAACGTGTGTTGAGTTTGTGTAGAAGACAAAGACGTATATTTAGTGAGAAGACAACTCCGATAAGCCAAGGCTCAAACCCTGATGTAAATGACAAAGGCAATACACCAAAAGATGACATCAATATTCTCACAAACCAACATTTAGAAGTTAATCCCCATTTTCATTTACAGCTAATGAAAGAATCTCCCAGAGACGGTATCAGTTATCAAACTGGATGGAATAATGTTAAAGAACGGAATGATACTAAACAAGGTGTAGAGCAAGGTGAAACAGATTTATATCTTGATCATATTTATGCCGAGCCTAACGAGACACTAAGACAAGCGAATTCCAATATTTATGATGACGCGTCCACGGAGAGGCAATCCGTTATCATTGCACTGCCGCAAAGAAACCAAACACGTATAGATGGCGCCGGCGGTCAGAGATATTATGAAGTAGAGTTAGAAGAAGATACACGAGACGCTGTGCAAGATGTAAGGGAAGAGGGATTTGGTGGTGATGTTAGTGTGGTGGATGCTTCAGGCGACGGCTATGAGGTGCCCAGAGATGTGTCCAGAAAGGTGCCCGGAGACGTGCCCAGAGAGGTGCCCAGAGAGGTGCCAAGAGAGTTACCCAAAAGGGTTTTTAGAGTTGTGCCCAAAGAGGTGCTCACTCACAAACTAAAAAATGTTAGCTATTCAGTAAAAAAAGAGGAAAATGTATTAACTAGAATATATGAAACCATTCCAAATGGGGAAATTTGTCTTAACACAAAGTTCAACATGCTTGAACCTGTAGGTAAGTCATCATACTTTGAACTGGAAGTAAATGATGAAGAAGAGGAAATCTCTAAACATCAAAGCATACGCCCTATTAGAGAGACTGACCGTGATCCAACTATGCAAAACTTTGGCGATGGCTATGAAGTGCCTGTCAAGCATACTTGCTATCCGATGAAGGGGCGTGAATTGAACTTGCAAAATGGAAACAATGCCTTCCAAGATGGAAAAGTTATCCATGACATTATTCGTGACACAAATTTATCTATTGATAATTTATGTGACGAAACTGTAGAGACAATTAGACTAGAAGACGTTAATATATATGATACAGCTTCCGTTGAAAATCTGCCAGTTATTATTTCGCTGCCTCGAAGAAACCTAATTATTGAAGATGGCACAAGCAAGCAGAGATACTTTGAGGTAGAGCTAGAGGACGACACAAATGACATGGTGTCAAGTGGTACTGAAGATCGCTTTAGTGAGGCCGATGGTTTGGTGAGTCTTTCGAACGATGGCTATGAGGTGCCGCGAAATAAATTAGCACACGTTTGTAATGCAGAAACCAAATTAGAAGGGCCTTTACATAATCCGTGTGAAGTTCTTCCCGATGGGGAAGTGCCACTTTAAAACATAGTTGGAACTGCAAGAACCTGACATTTAACGATAGAGAGTATGCCTCCTCTCTCAACATGCGGACGTATGTCTCACGAAAGAGGCCCGATGTGATATAAAAATACACAATATTCGGAAAGACGGCTACAAAGCACCTGGTGAATTTCTGATCCACGATATGGAAGCATGACGTGGATATACAACCTGGGTATTTTTTTCAGCTATATCTCCGAGGAGGGGGAGCACTGCATTTGCGAGGAAAGCCAAGTGTCCCCCTCCCCCCGAGCAAAAAATATGTCCAACAATAAATCAACTGGCACTGC